ACCGTACCTAAAAAACGAAAACGCTATATTTATATTAGCTTCTTGGTCAGTTTAATAATCTCTATTATGCTATTAGCTATTATTTTGCAGTGACAATAAAACGCCATCCAGCAAGGTGGAAATCCATTACTTTTGCTGTTTTTAAGCGTTTCTCAGCACGCCATCGTTCGCGATTAAAGGGACACTCCCACCTTAACATTAGTTTTGAGTTGAGATAGCCAAATTGGTGGCCATGGCCTGCAAATACCGGTTTGGGCATCAAACAATCGACAAATGCTTTAATTCGGAGATATGGAATTTCAAACTTGCAGTTTTCGGATTCTAAGGGGCTAGTGCATTGGTATGCCCCCTTAGAATTTGTGACGTCAGCGGAGATCTAACGATTTTTAAATCTTTTACTAAAACGTTTGGTAGCACGCGGTGGTATATGCTGCTTTGCGCGCAACAAATGCCGCACTTTCAAATAAAGTCGCTAGGAACAGCGGAGATCCCAAAAGTAAACAAAAGTAAAAGTCTAATATCTTGAAAACCGGTGAATATTTTTCGATGAACTTTGGTAGATATTCGTTTTCGCTCTTTCTGAACCGAGCGACATCACTTTCGTGCCAATTCATTAACTTTTTTGAAGGTGGGAGGGTCCCTTTAACTAGTAACGGAATAACTATTATAATAAGCAACAATAAAAGTCACGATCCCGTCACCGAGCTCTTTGTCTCCTGGTGCTGCAATAGTCACGACCAGGAAACGGTTAACCTCTTGCAGTTGAGAATGCTCTTATCAGGGCTGACACTGCTGCTGCGTGCTTCCCGCACAGATCTATTGCCGCACGAGAAGCAGTTCCGGGCTCCGGCGCTCCCTCGCTCCGTCCGGCGGTGACTCACAGTGGGGAGATGCGTCCCTAATGCGCTCCCCTCCGCCAAGATGACGTTACCCGCGGGATGATGTTATGCACGCCCTTCTGCACACCTGTCTGACTCAAGGTCTGATCAGCAGCCCCTTGACCGCCGCGGAACGCAGCCATCCGCAGCCGCCGCGGTTCGCGTGTGAGCGTCAGTTGCTCCAGACTGGCCGTAGGCTAAGAGAATGTCGCCGTCTTGTGTCCAGTGTTTTCCCGTTGACGCTCACCGCGTCGCAGCGTGGTCTCGTGGCGCGGCGGCGACGGGCGCGGCGCAGCTGTCGCCCTGCCCACCGATGCCGGCGGATTGCCCCATTGCGTGGGCTGAGCCGCGGGCGCTGCGGCGCCGCGGCTCGCGAGGCCTGGCGTGTGGGAGTGAGAGGGGGAGAGCTCTTTGTGGTACTGTCGGCGGGGCAGGCTGCTTCTGAGGCGTGCTATGCAGTCAGTGGCAGCACTCTCTTGGACATTGAGTGGCAGCGTGCCGGCATGCCGTCTCAATGTACTGCGGGTAACGGCTTACACCTTCTTCGTTTTCTTTTTACCGTGCCGACTGCCGTTATACAAGCCGAAATGGCATTTTACTTGCTAAGATGAAAAGAATCAAAATGACTAGGATTTATGCTACTTGTACAAGCACTCACAAGATTAAAAGGAAAACTTCCAACGAATAGGGTTCCTCTTAATTAATACGACTTTTAGTTACTTAAACAAGAACCCGAAAGAAATACAAGCACCGGATGTACTAGAAATTAAAAAGGTCCGTTCAAGCGCAAAAGCGAGCCGACAGTCAACCGTCAAGTCGAGCACCACCAGCGGCATTTTGCAAATATACGAAGGATAAACTGAGTTCAGAGATATCCTGCAGGCTGAACCGCCGTCTCAACTGACCTTGGACGGCGGCTTCGTGAAAGCGATCGGCCATCGGCACCGCTAATCGGCATTGCAGCCAGGATTGGTTCCATCCTGCAGGGGTCCTCCGAGACGCCCGTGCAACTGAGTGACAGCACTCCTAAAACAAAAACAAGCGGGCCGTGCGGCTGGAACATCAAAGTTGGCCCATGTTTGCGAGCCTGTGCTCCGCTAATGTTTCTGTTGTTTTAGCGGCACGTGACCAGGAAATGGAGAGGACAAAAACACCGGAAGTGTCAACACAAGTCGCTCACGCACGGACGGCCAGAGCCAAAGAATGGTCCGAATGGCTTCAGTATCTCAGCAAGACGTGAAAGGCTTTTCATTTGGCTTTTCGCACCATAAAAACGAGCCATCTGTTAACTAAAATGTCACTCTTTTTGTCAGAAAACAAAAATTACGTATAAAGCAAATTAGATGTAAAGCGTAAAATGTAGGTAATTGTAAAATATAAAGCGTTATCTTTTTCAGAATATACTGAAAGATGCATGCCAAAATCACCATTTCGCATTTAGGTACAGGTGACATGGCTATGTAGTGGATAAAAAATGGGAATGACGTGAATCACAGACTTCTCTATATATAGAGCACAGACTTCTCTATATATAGAGAAGTCTGTGCGTGAATATATCAAACTTATCCTAAAACACAATTAACGTTTTCAGAAAAAAAAAATAAAAAAACATACGTATAAATTTGATATACACTTAGCACACGACCTGGGACAGTTCAGATTCACCTCGACGTGTGATTCGGTGTGACAATAAACCACGCGGCACGCTGAATGTTGATTTTGTGTGGCCGATGTGTCATGCTGTAGGTATCGTTGTTCGTGCCGACTGCCGGCGTGCCCGTGTTACAGTGCAGCGGCCGCGGCCTTTGTGCCGATTGTCGCTGTTCCGTGCTGACTTCTGACTGTGTGCCGGTGTGCCCGTGTTACAGTGCAGCGGCCGCAGCCCGTTGTGGCCAAGGAGGAGGACAACTACCTGATCCCCGAGTGGAGCATCGCCGTCATCGTCATCGGCCTCACCGCGCTGCTCTTCATGCTCATCTTCGGCATCGTGCTGGTGAGTACTCAAAGAAATGTTTTAAATATTACATTCAACCATATTCAACCATGACGGTCACAACAGTAAGCGAATCTGAGAACGGACAAAAGGATAGCCAGCGCTAGTTGGCTCTATTTAGCAATGATACACATAAACTAATATGCTTCCTCGTCTGCATATGAACTTGGTAATGGAGGCGTCGTGTGGGTGTGAGATTTAGTGGACAACTTGTATGCATAAATAACCACAATATTTCGTTATGACGGTTTCATAATCACCGCGGCTAGAGCTTTCACGGCGGTAGCCACGGTGAGACATGTGCGAGGTGCTGACCACTGAATTCTGATCGCTGACGAGTGACGACCATCTCGGCACTGTCTGCTGACCACTGACCGTACTGCGTCACTGACCACTGTGACCAACACTATCCATATCTACTGGCCATAGATTGCATACCGTTCACCACTGAAAGCTTACCGCTCAGCGGGATCTCTCTCTCTCTCTCTCTCTCTCTCTCTCTCTCTCTCTCTCTCTCTCTCTCTCTCTCTCTCTCTCTCTCTCTCTCTCTCTCTCTCTCTCTCTCTCTCTCTCTCTCTCTCTCTCTCTCTCTCCCTATCTCCTTATAAATCTATCTCTTCCTCTTTCTTTGTCTTTTTCATTCTTCCTCTCTTATGCCTTGCGCATAAATGTCTATGTTATGTTTGGTTATGGTGGCTATGAACTATGAAACACTGGAGCTTCATAGCTCATATAGTCAAGTCACAAGTCCCTATTGCTCCCACTGACCCTTTGACCGGAGTCTGTCGTTCCGTATTCACACACTAACACGTCGCTATATCGACTCATGTCGCCATGTTGCGGTCGCTCGCTCTATTTCGTCAGTTTCGCGGCGTCTGGCCGCTTCTATTTGCAAACGGTCGGCAGCTGCCGCTGAGATGACACGGTTGGTTTTATTGTTCATCTTCGACCGGCTCGAGTGGTATAACCGATTCCCGGCAGCCCAGCAACTGCGGAACGGCGCTTTATGACTGTGTTGTAACTACCCTAGCGCCGGGATTGCTCGCTGCTGGCTGCGCAGCGCGCAGTCGGTTTAATCGGGCTGAAATCGCATGGCAGGCACTGTCTGGGCGCACCACAGTTGTACTGAGCCATGTTTCCGGCAGCAATGATTTAAATGAAACATTGTAATAGTGGAGCATGATGTAGCCAACTGCTATTTATGTTCTAGGAAATGCCTAAAAGGCTGACCCAACAGCAATGTTCGATCTGCGCTTTGCAGTCAACGAGCTGTGATGTAGGTATCTAAAAATAGAACAATTTCAAAATATTTCATTTCATTAGCTTATTTACTAACAAAAATAGGGTTATTCCACCCAATGTTGGTCTCTCCATCGAGCTCTATCCCATCACACCACCCACAGTTTTGCGGAAGCTGCCCCGTTTATCCCCAAATGGATCAGCAATCGATATCGGCTTTGGCAGGAGAGGCCGGCTGTTTCGTCTCCTAGCCGAGCAAAAAGCTAAAAAGCTTCTTAGAAACGCAGCGGCGGCCGAGCGTCGTCTCAGCACCGGCGGGTTTTCCGTCCCAGGGGTCCCGGTGCTGACGCGGATTCATTTTCGCTCAGCTCTTTCGTGTAACATCTAGAAACGAGACGAGTGGGAGACAGAATGTCCATAAAGTCGGGTGAACTGAACACTGTCGGTCACACAGTGAGTGCTGAACTGTACAAAAAGAATGATACAGAGCCGGCGGAGTGCGCACCGTCTACATATGAGATAGAGATCGTGGCACCGCTGGAAGACTGCCCGGGTGCTGCTGGCTTGTCCCACAGAGTGCTGGCGGGAATCGAACGGAACGGTCGCCCGTCAGACGCCACCAATGACGGATCGTTGTGTTTGTTCCATTGCACAAAGTTCGGAGGAGCTCATTGGCTGAGATTTGCCGTCAAAGTGAGGAGGTTTGCTGGTATTTTCTGGAGCAGGCCCGTGGTATAGCGGGTCCAGCGGAACGGGCGACCAGCTCACTCAGCGGCGTCATTTTACACCAACTCCGCCCGCGGGGTCAGCAAAAAAACTGCCTCTCTCCTCATGTATAGAAAGCTTTGACTGAAGTCTGAACGTTCTGGCAGCCGACGAAGAAAGTTGGTTTCTTTAGCCTGCAAGCTTGCAAACGCTCGCATATCCATTGAGGAATCTATTGCTTATTTGGCGGTAAATACACTTCAAGAGGTTGCGCGCCGTCGCAACTTCCTGTCGCTAGATGGCAGTGTGAGCAGCGCCTGCAGGTATGCTGTGCCGCATAGCTCAAAAGTTAAAACTGCTGGGCGTCTCGCTGTGCCTCAGGATAAAAATAAAGTGAAAGGACACCAAACAGCAGATGAGCAATTTGGTCATGCTTCACACCAAAACAGTTGTAAGAATGCGTTCCTTTTTTATGAACATCCGAATTCCGAGGAACTTGGTTCGAGCTACGTTCCATGGTCCGTGGCACCGGCGCCTGGCACGGGGGCTGGGTGTGGTCACTCCCTACTCCCTAGACTTGGAGAAGCCGGCGCCGGCGTTACAGGTTCCGGGCGATAGGATCGCAGTCCGGGTCCTGAGAGAGGCTTTGTCGCCGTGTCCCGGCCAGAGATTAATGTCCGGCGTGATTGGCCTCTCAGCGGGTGACGTGGTCGCCGTGCGATGCCTGGAGACGGTGACATTCTGCCCACACCGGCTCCATGGGCCGACGAGACTTTTAACGAGGTAAACCGTGATACGGTCACCTTACATAACTGTACCAAAGGCGCGATTGGGTCATAAATATTCCCATGAGGGTAAAAGTTTTCCCTCTGGCCTCTGGTAATGGGCCTGGAAGACGACAGTGCGCATTGCCCGGTCTTGGAATGCACATTGCATAATGCATATGGTCAATGACAATGGACCATATGTCCACTGCCTGTGTTACAGGCGAAAGTGATGTGATGCTCCTAATATTTTTATACTTGCACTTTCTTTTACAAATTCTATTGAAAGCGGGTATTGTCGCATAAACCGCTGTTTTCTGACCGTGGTCACTCATGTGTTTGCGGTGCCGTGACCACTGACCACTAGCCAGCACCGATGTAACTCTCATGGTCACTGGGAGTGGCGCCGTCATAAGACGATTAGTCACGGGCCTGCAGGTAGGGTGCTGTTCCGGCCACCGACACCAGAAAGGCGCTGTCAGAGCTCACCCCTCGCTCTGAAGTTATGCTCTCAGTCACAAGTGACGACTACATACTAGTGACCGTCGAGCTCGCCACCGATACAGTCCATCTGTTCACATTAGGTGAGGCGACATCACGGCTCGCGTCACGGCCAGTTCAGGGTGGTAAGGGCCATTCGGCGGGCACGGACCAGAGACTTCCGCCCAAGCGACACATTGGGACTTCCTCGATAGCCGCAAGACATTTCGCTTTGTCTGAACGGCAGGTCATTGCCCAGATCTCACAGTTATCCCCATCTGATAATGTTCTGCATGTTTTACTGCAGCTTGGTGCGTCACCTTTTAGTCCAGCCGTGTCTGTCTGTTGGGTATGTCCGCTCCGGTCCAAAAGCCTTTCACTCAGCCATCTATCACGACTGCTGGCGGCTAGTCGACTCGGAAGTGGCCACTGCGGTGTGGCCGCTCTGCCGTGACAAACGGGCACCGGCCAGGGAACGGCCAACACAGTTCTGGTCGGCCCGCGGCAGAGCTCCGCGTCCGGGCTGACTCAGTCTCTCCGAGAGAATTCTCAGCGCTAGCCTGCGCGCTCAAACCGGTCTTTGAGCCGTCCAACACGATGGCATTGCTCCTGGCCGTGCTCTGAGAACACAGATTTGGATTTCAGAGCCCCGGGACTGCAACGGTCATTGGCGGTGAGCCCGAACACTGACAGTGATTGTATCCACCATCCAGTATCCACCCTGACTCTGAGCAATAAATAACCTGTCCGAAATGGTTTCCCATGTTCAGTACTATGCATAAGCCAACCTACACTACACCAGACTCGAGCTTACACAGCCAAAATCAGTCGAACCAATTTTGGAGAAGCCGCCTGAGAGCCGCTTAGAAGATAACCGGCTACACAGCTTGGGCGGTCTGTGGGCGGATTACAGCCGATCCTTTGTCTGAAAGTTGGCTCGCTCAAGGCCGCCATTAATGCAGCGTCGAGGGATTTTTAGAGTTAAAAATTAGTCATCAGATGAGATTGCCGTCCGCTCGTGTGGTTCATCAGGTTCAGTCGAGTCAGAGCGCACTATCGGCCCGGTAAAACCGGCAACTTGCGGGTTGCGAACCGGAGTCGGGACGGAGACTGGGAGAGTCCGGGGAGGTGGGAACGGCGACCTTTCACTGATATGCATCTGCACATTTACCCTGAGAATGGATATAGATGAGGGTATACGTGCATTATGCACCGTCATTGCTCATCAAATCGACCTTGACTTTTTATTTATATCAGTTACGGTAAACGTAAGCGCGCCTCCGAATGCAGTCATCACGGCGGGCGGTCGGCCGTGGCGGCGGTGACCGATTCCGTCTGCCATTCACCTCGTCACCGCTCTGTCACCGCCCTGCCACCGCCGGCCGGCAGAGCCGTCCGCCGCCTGGTCAGCGCTCCGGCAGTCGGTGTGCGGTCCATTCAGCCGCGACCAGCCGAGCGGTCCTATTCAGACCGAGCGACCGACGGCCGGCGGGCCGAGCTCCGATAGCTCGATACGTCCAATTCTGTCCGCCGTTCGCCGCCAATGCCGCTGCCGCTCTCTCCAACAGAGCCGCTTCCAGCTGACACCAGGATGTAGTCGGAATCCATTCCAATGCCGACGGAAACCATGCGCTCATCGTGACAACGATTGCTCGCTCAGAGAGCTATGTCGACTCCTCTCTACCTTTCTGAAAGCGGAACATGCTGTAGGATAGCAGATTTCGTGGCGCACAGGTAAAGCAGTCTCAATAAAGGAGCAATAACTTGGCCCGGAACTTTGTCGGCAAGTCAGTGCACGAACTTGGTGTTTGTCGAAGGAGTTGAGAGCCATCCCGGGGGAGTTGAAAGCGTCTAGCTACCACAGACTGCCGGAGATTAAGTAGAAGCAGTTAGAAGGTAATGAATGTTCCAATCTTCAAACGAATTAACGGTAATAGTTTGTGAGTCGTGCCACCGAGCACGGATTTATTCCATACATTTATTTTCTACCTGCATGTATATTCATTATCTAGCGCGTGGGACGCACGAACTTCCTACAACAGTGCCTCACGGGTGAGCCTTATGGGTTTATAGGTTGCTGATTGAGCACTGAGCAGCTAAGCGACATCCGATGTCCAATTTAACGCCGCATTCAGTCACCTCCTCTCCCTCTCTCTCTCTCTCTCTCTCTCTCTCTCTCTCTCTCTCTCTCTCTCTCTCTCTCTCTCTCTCTCTCTTTCTCTCTCTCTTTCTCTCTTTCTCTCTCTTTTTCTTTCTCTTTCTCTCTCTTTCTCTCCCACTATTTCTCTCACACAACTAATGCGTCCATTCTCCATTGCAGATGTGGAACCGTCGAAAGCGGCGTGCCCGGGCACCTCGCACCACCGTGCCTCTGACGGCTGACATGCTCAATGAGCTCGACAAGAGTCACATGGCCGGCGTCGACAACTACGGGGTGGAGGACGTCTACGATCCGGATGACGCGTGGAACAACGAGAAAGTTACCTACGACCGGCGGCTGGTGAGTGGCAGGGCAAAGCAACGGGATAGGGAGCAGGACACATGAGATAGGCGCAGTGGGTCGGCACAGCACAGGGGGGGGGGGAGGGGACGGGGAAGGGTCATTGGACAGTGGCGGCGGAACACCTTCAATTGAGTGGGGGGAGGGGGCACTGTCGGCTTTTGGTCCCCATTCTTTCCATGCAACGCCCATAGGGCTAATGTTAAGATGACAAAATCAAAGGGGGCACGCTGCCCCGGTGCCCTCCCCGTTCCGCCGCCTATGGCATTGGACATATGGCACAAGAGGAAATCACGCCACATAGCCGGGGCAGGACACAGGGGCAGGGCATAGGAGCAAGGCACATTGGGAACGGCACGGCTAACAGGGGCAGGGCACAAGGGACATGGCACAGGGGTAGGGCACAGGGGGCACGGCACGGTTTAACAGCGGCCGGCCGACCGTGATGACAGTCGTCAAACCCACGCGCCGAGCCTTAGTGAAGGATCCTCAGTCCGGCCCATCCGTTTGAAATCGGCACATTTGCATGCGGCTCGTTGGTGGAATGTCATCAAACGCCGTCGGGAAGCACGTGCCCGGCTAATGGGGCTCCTTCAACCGTCTTCCTGGGAGCCCAACTCCCTCTGGGCACTCAGTCTGAATGAAAGAACGCCTTCCTTCAATTTACCGGCCAATGGCGTTTGACGTCAGCATAGGACCGATATAGCATAAATGTGCAGATCAGGTGTCTATCGGTCCACCTCATAGTGCGTTATTGAATGTAATTTATCAGACAAGTCGGGAGGAATTCGGGAGTTTTAGGTACCTAAATGTCACCAGATTTCATAAGTTACAGTTTGCGATTGAAATAGCTTTCAAATAACCCATACCGTCTGTCAAAGTATGAGCTCATTCAACCTTGACTTCGCCAACTTGTGCCTGACTTCGCCAATGTTAATCCGCCTTCACCTAAAACAACATCCCATTCTGTCTGCGTTACAGCGCTCGGCCAGCCGCGCCCGGAATGACGACACCAAGAACTACAACATCTACGACAGCTGGCGCAGCGACTACTCGGGCGCGCACGGCTCGGCCGCCGGCTGGAGTCGCAACAAGATCGAAAACTTCGACGACGATCCCGATGATTTCTGAGTGCCGCCTTTTGGACGCTAAGCGAGCGCGCGTGCGAGTGGGAAAGAGGCGGGAGTGAGAGACAGAGGAGAGGCGAGAGACTGCGTGTGGCGTGCGAACTGCGACAGAGGCGTCTTTCACGGGAGCGAGACAGTCTGGGGCGACGCCGAGCGACGCCACAGACCGAGTGAGTAAGTGAGTCAGGTGCACCTGAACGAGACATTTATGACGGCGCTAGATGGACGATGGCATTGGCCGAGCTGCGCGCCGCTGCGGGTCGGGTCAGCCAAGTGACCTGAGATTGATCCGCGCAGTTGGGTCAGCCGAGTGACCTGAGATTGACCCGCGCAGTCGGGTCAGCCGAGTGACCTGAGCCCGACCCGCACAGTCTGGTCAGCCGAGTGACCTCTCACCCTGGCAGATCGAGGACACTGCCGCAGTCACCGACGGGACAGTGTGCGACCGACCGACGGCGAGTGGGGGCACCCGCCACTGTCGCGCAGCCCACCTGAGTCCGCGAAATCCCCCCCCCCCCGTATGCCTTTGACCACGCCGGATCGTGCCGGATCGGATCAGACCCTCCATTTCCCAGACCGCTCACTGATCTGTGCGTGACTACATAGAGATAAATAAATAAATATGGTGTAAAGAATGTCCTGTTTTATAGTCGTTTGTGTGTGGAGAAAAGTGCGCATATCCACGGTGAACGGTCTAAACATAAAAACGTCACTACTGTTGTCCGTTAAAGTAATTCATTTATTCAAGACAGAGAAAACATGGTAGCAAAATATATCCTACGTAAATATCTAACCACTGCATGCGGGGCGTGTCAAAAGCACGACTCAACCGGACTGATTGGCAACACAGTCCAAAACAGCGCAGCTGGCGGTATATACGTCAGTCGCCGGGGCCGAGGCGGCGCAACGGGCCCGGGCACAACGGGCTTCTCTCTCAGCTGACAACCTGACGGCGACGCCTGCCCCCCCCCCCCCCGCCCCCCGACCGTTAGATGCCGGTACCCCCTCCCCCTCCAACCCAGCCCCGATCGGCGAGCCGCCAGCCTGGGACAGAGCCCGCAGCAATAGGCGCAAACGTAGCTCCAACACCTGGTCATCAAGGTAATAAATTAAAACTCATACGCCCAATACGTTCACGGCCATAGCTATTGGAGCCACGCAGCACCATAAAGATCCTCGCACACAAAACGTCTCCAGCAACCACCTGTCTTGGGTCTGTACATATTAGTAGATAGAATTAAACACGACGATCAACACACAATGTCAATTTCTACAGTGCACGCTTGTGTCTCTGTCATCTGGAATTGATCGAGTGAAAGTCCTGTCTCCGTCGCGCACAGTGAGGCGATGGGAGCGTCTGGAGTGGCGCCGCGCCACTGGACGGCGTCTCCGGCCGTCCGGGAACACAGCTATCACATGGCCAGACCGCCGCCGCCTCCGGCCCTCACTTGTCGTCGGCCACGAAGATCTCGACGTCTCCCGAGTCGCCGTTGGCCTTGGCGTCGCGCCGCTTCTGTTCGATGAGCCGGCGGCGCTGTTCCATCATCTTCTTGCGGGCGGCGGAGCGGGCGCGCGCCGCCTCCGCCTTGGCCGGGTCGGAGGGCGCCGAACGCCGCGAGCCGTTGGACGCTTTGCTGTTGGGCGTGCTGCTGGCGCTCTGTGATGACTCTCGCGGCGGTGACACCTGGGGCACAACAAAACAACAGTCAGCGCAGGCCGAGACAAAAGTCACATAGAAATCCATCACAGTGTGTTATATAACCCTTCAATCACCCCTTTTGGATAATTTTGCCACAATAACGTGAGATCCACACTCAACTGCGCTGTGAAAAGGCAAACAGCCGCGTTCGGCACGGGGGAGGATGGAGACCTACCAGCAGTTGGCCAAATTTCATTCTATACACCCTGGTCCAAATGGTCACGAGCGGATATTTGTCAGAAGACAACACGGGAACGGCGATCACACATTGATACCAGCGGCACCTAGCGGCACTGGAGCCAACCACACCGCCGTAGCGGCCACCTTGTGGCAGCTTCTTCAACTGCACCAATCGCCCCTTTCCTCTACACAATGCAAAGCGGCAACTCACTGCACTGGGAACGGAGTCCCACCCATCACACTAACCCAAAATAAAAATAAAAACTCTTACACTTATGAGTCTATGACGACTCATGCGAGCATTCGAGTATCGACCGCCAACCACACATCTGGCGAAGACCAAATATCGATCGACTACTCCAGCCCCCAATGCCACCACCCGGCTCCACTCTCAGCTCCAGCGAGCCAGCCTGGCCGCGGCCGGACACAGCCCAGACCAGCCCGACACCCGATCCGACCCAATCCCGGCGACTGGTCCGCCTCTGAGTCCGTCCGCGGGGACATGCACACTCATTAGGCGACCCTGCTGCGCCGCTCAGTCCCGATCTATTGGCACCGGCCCAGAGAGGAGTCGGTCCTAATCACTGGGAGGTAGGACAGCCCCCTTATAGAATACCAACCACCACTTCCCGACTGCTGATGTTCTCGTTTAAAGTCTAACAGCGGTGGAAAAACGGCCTGATGACCGGCAGCCACATTGAACGAGTCTGCTATAATTCACAATGTGATCGTTAGGATTGACAGATGGGCGTTCTGGAGTCAGGCTCTTTCAGAGCGGCGCAAAACAGCGGCCAGACAGCGTCAGCCGCCCTCTCTCGCTGTGACCGATCGCCAGACGTCAGATACACTGGGGATCTGGTGCAAACCGGACCAACTTAGGGGATGCGGAGACCCGGTCTATTTCAGGTCAACGCTGGGGGGTTACAAATTCGACATAATCCTGATCTATCCATGGATGCTACAGAGACCCAGTCAATCCAGATTCCAGAACATGGTGTAAGACCCTCCCCGTAATTTAGGGGCAATAAAGCCCCGGTATTACATCGGTGAAGTCATGAATGCTACATAGACTCTGTGTGACCCGTAAAATCAGGGAGGTTACAGTGAACTGGTGTGACTCGTGGGTGGTGTTTCACAGATGATAGCAGCACACTGCTATTCCACGTGTCAAATTAGGTTTCCGTGGAGACATCAACAAGCCCATTGCTCCAACACTACCACAAGTGTGACGTCAGCTCGCGAAATGCGATAGCAGCGTGGTAGCAGCGTCCAGTAAAATACCGCCGGGTGAAAGCAGAGATGTTACAGAGAACCGGGACGCCACGAGTGAAAGGGTTCATCCTCCTACTGTCAGAAACCATCAAAGCAGGCACTAACAAATCGTATGACTAGTCTGACAGTGACTAGCAAAATGTTTTGAGCGGACAATAGACAACCAGCAGACTTTGAAGGCACCACAAGTTCTAAAGATCGTAGAACAGACTGCAGCAGTTGCACTTGCTAGTTTTGTAGTTCCGATATTGCGTGATCGATGGACACCCAATTGCTGGTCAAGCTCTTTTGAGATCCATCGAATCCCCTCACAGAGCACAGCCCGTCGATCCGATCACGCGGCGCAGCATATAGATCACAGCAGCCGTCCCCTTCCCGTCCGGCGCACGGCCGATAGAAGCCCGATCACGGCACCGTGGCACGGCCGCCGTCCTATCAGACCCCGGCGGCAAACATATCAGCGTCACACGTGGTGTCCGCTAATCATCGGCAAACAGAGCGCGTCATCCCGACCGGGCCGGCAAAAAGCTCCGCACGGCGCGCTACAGGCCGAACGGGGCACGGACAGCATGTGATGGACGCAGGGCGTGGCAGGCATCTTGTACTGGGTTGTAGCGGTGACATCCCGACACGGAACCCGGGGAGGGAATGGGAGGGAGGGGACCGAGGGAGGTAGTCGGTGCGGATTAACAGCGCTTCAAGTCCCTGGTTGATTACAGCAGATGATTTTGGGGTATAGCTAGCAATAAGCTTTGGATGATCCAACTCGTCGTTTGACAAACACTTGTCATAAACTACAAACAGGAAGTCAGTTGAAACAGACTTGATTGCCTTTCATAATTCAAAACAGCTCGAAGCGCAACCATACCGATGAAATTGAATTGTTGAAGGAACTTGCATTTTCGTTCATATAACTTATCATTATGTGCTTTAGCTCAGCCTCCGAATCCACACTCGATCTTGAAAAATAATGCACCAAATACATAAGCTTACGACTCGTAACTCAACACACTCCTTAGGTCACAGGAAAAATCACGGTAAGACAAGACTTGCGCTAAAAACTCCTGCCAAAGGAATAAAAGCCCGCCATAGTTCACGACAAAGCCGATCACTGACAATCTATTCGTCTGAAGGCTAACAATATCGCCATTCGTCATTATGTCATGTTCAGATACTTCCAAGCTCTACGGGATGCGATTACCAAAAAACAAACTATCATCGCTGCGTCTAGACCGTAGACATCCTGGGCAATGGGCATACGTAATTTATGATTTCTGTGAACAGTGATCTATTCAATTCTTAGAATCTTAGTCGCAATGGTTGAATTGGTGGCCAGCAAGCTAGTGTCAGCATCATCGCTGCCATTTCAGTAGTAACAGTAACTCCACATCAAGATTTGAGAAGATATGTGTGTACGGGCTCGCCTATTATAAAGTTAGTTTGTCCTGAATGGGCGGAATGACGAAACCCGAAACTCGCGCTAAGCAGAACTTGCTGCGCAAACTCTGACCTTTGTCGTCCGATCGCGGAATTCCAGGTTGTCAGTAGAATCCATAAAACAAAGTCAGCATACGACATAGCCGGACAGAACCCGTCCCACCCACTGACTTCAAAAGGTTATGTCTGCTCCCACCAACAACATACCATCCCCTTTTGTTGGAGCAATGAAGCTGCATTGAGCAATGGAGCGACGAGCTCACCCCATTACTATCGGGAGTCAGATACTTCCAAAGTGAGGCATGGGACGCCTATTAAACACCAGCAGCCACTAAATAAACTATCCATCTAGTACCAGTTCCAAGGCGGCACTCTCCTTCCACGGAGTCCCCGTCGGCCCGTCGGCTGATGTCCAGTAGGCGGACATCCGTGTTCGGCCAGTCCCCCGGGAGCCACCCGTCGTCGGCGCGGCTAGTTAGGATATAGGGAAAGACTCCGACCAATTACTGCGCAAAAACAGCAGCTCCCGGCCGGCCACGGCCGACTGGGGGGCGGCCGCCGGTCAGTATTCACAGTCCGACCAGGACGTGGCCAGACCTGACGGAACTCCGGACCAGCACCGCCCACGCGCGCCGCGGACCCTCGCTGCATGTGGCAGCCACACAGACCGATCGGTGTGCGAGCGTTTGTCGGCGGGCGCGGCGTGACTGACAATGATGCGCTCTGTCGCTGCGTCCATATTGATGCGGGTCGAGCGCTGCGATTGAGCTGGAGGAAAGGCGGGGTCAGAGACCGGGTGGGGACGGCGGGAAGCAGGGGATGGCTAGGAGGAAAGACAGAAACAGAGACTGCAACTTGAGCGGCGGCTGCAGATACGAACCGATAATATATGGGGCCAGATAATGGGCCGAGATTGCAAGATGTAAAGAGAGACAGAGAAAAATATAGTGACGGACAGGAACAGGGAGGCGTTGGCGGTAATGGGGTACCCAGAGAATGGCCAAATGATACTACCTGTCACATAACGACCCAATGACATCGGCATTCAGCATGGAAGACAAGAAGCAGTAAAAGCAGCAGCTTGACAAACCCTTTGCAAGTTATTAGCCTAGCAGCTGTGATGAATCATTCACCTTTCACCCACAAGACCGCAGATCCTCGGAAACCCACTGCGCCTTTTGATCTCCGCTCCGCCGTCCACTCAGGGGGACGGACTCTTTGCCTCCGTCGCGCCGTCGTCCCGTGCCGGCCGTTGACCACAATGAAGACAGATGCCGCGCGGTGCGACCATCAGTCTGCCACAGAGCCCTGGCCGGCGGCCCGCCGGGACGGAGGCGACAGGCGAAACCGCTCAGCTCGCCCCGACCGGAAGGCGGGGGGGGGGGGGGCTCGGCAGAGTCGAGATCGTACCGGAGAGTATCATGAGGAAGAGGTTCGGGAGATAAGAATGAAGATCATATGATGGAGCAGGTCGCATATACATAGTGGTAAGGATAATATCATTCAATGGCATACCGTGCAGAATACGTAGGAGGAATTAGTGCCGGACAGGGAATTCACCGAGAAGCAGCGATCATACCGGGGGAGAAGCGCTAACACCGGGTGAGACCGGCAATGCCACACCTCATCACGCCGACATGGACATACGGCAGGCGCCTGTGCCACCCCAGCACCCGTCGGGGACAGCCAATCTAGCGGACCCCCGCGGCGACCGGCACGCACACAGCCGGGACCGGAACCAAGACGGAGACCGAGAGGCGAGACTGGCAGGTGACAGCGGCGCCACTATCGAGCAGCGGCCGGCGCCCGACGACCACCGACGCCTCGATCGGCAGCGCGCCCTGAGAGCAATCAGCGGCGTCTTTTCACCGAGCGACAGCCGCCGGAGCGAACGGACGCCCGGGGCACATTACCGCCGCTGCCCGGAGACGGGCGGTCGGGCGGAAGTGGCGGAGCGGCGCACTGCGAACGGCACACAGAGCTGAGCGGATACACCGGCAGCGCTCAGCTCGCTCAGCCTGCGACACCTACACAAAGCGCTCTGCGCTCAACACTTATATATAACAGAAAACTGTCCTGACATGCTGCTCATATGCGGATCCAATAACTAATGTAACTATTTGGCAATATTTCGTAGTTAAATACTGAGCTCCGAGCACTAAGCGCCGGCCATACTGCGCACTGATCCGATCTAACAGCAGGCAAGTACAGGGAGGGCGGCCGGTAACACCACGTGACAGGTTCCAAGAACTCTACAGCCAACGTTCAAGCAGCTCATAAGCCCGCTTCATCCGTGCCGGCAAAACAGCCGATAGCGCTCTAAGGATTAAGGTAGCAGGTTCAGCGACCGGGGAGACAAGCCGTGGGCCACCCGACTGGGGTTCGAGTGGACATTCCTAGAACATTTTAGCATTTACAAAAGCTAGTCAACAGAGTTTAAGTCGCAATACACGCCCCATAATAGCTGAACGATAAGCAGGACTTACATAGGATCGAGAGGACAACCATTGGACAACACCAGCAGAGTACCAACTAGGTGACGGCGCCCATGTTCAACGTGACATGTAAGCAGCTTTTGCCAGCGACAACGCCGTTCAGTCGAGCCACAAGACTTCAGTTAACACCTCGGCGGTGACAAGTTAAGTAGCACATAATGCTGACCAACGGCTTCACGGAGTTGCCGGAAGACGACAGCGGACCACCTCGACTCCGGTATGACAGGAGAGTAATTTCACATCGAGCCATACTATTGTGGTTGCCGGCAGCGGATAGCGTGACTGTGTGGGTTTTCGAATACACTGCAAATGCAGGTCATTTTGCGCAATCGAAAAGTGAGAAATAAGAAATGTAAGGTGGGATTGAGCACCATAAAACGGACTGTCTCTGATGCACAGAAACAAACAGCCGTTTCCTTGAACTGAAAACAGCCTAACGAATTCGTGGAATCGCATGAATCATCCGATTAAGCACGCTTCCCTGAACTACACAACCAGACTAAGCCGACTTGCTGTCGTGGCACAACGGGGCCAACAAACAGCCAGCGACTTCCGCTTGGAATAACACAAATGAGTCGGCTCCCCCAGCTCCGAGCGCGGCTCGCTAAATGGAGGCCCTAACTGCTCAGTGCTCAGCATAGCCAACAGGGGTGGATACAACCGGAAGGTTATCTGACTTGAACTAAAATCGACCGGCGACCGGCGAAACCACCCGTCCACTATCGCTCAAACACTCTGATCTTCCCAAATCCGCGAGTAACAGATAACTGAATCATCACTGGATGAGCAGCTTTCTGGGTCTCTTTGAATGAGCATGGCGGCCAGTATCGGTTCCACATTCTCTACGCTCCGGCGGCTGGCATGCTCTACTCCGTCAGGCGCTAATTACCGGTCCTTCATCCCTGTGCCCTGGTGTGCTCTCCTACAGCTGCTTAGGCCCGTCGGTCCCTCGTATTGACCCACACACGTTGCACGTCAGGTGTGGCGTGTCCACCTCTGGCAGTCACCAGGATCGGTCCTTCCCTGCACTATCGTTCGCTCTGACGCGCTTACCTCAGGCAGTCGCCAGTTGTTGGCTCGGATGGCGTCCAGCTCAGCCATCATGGCGTCGATGTGGTGCACCTGGATCAGCACCATGTCCCAGAAGCCCTGCAGGTCGTCGCCGGTCGTCGGGAACGGGTCGTCGGCCGGCGCCTTCTGTGGAACGACACGCAAATATCAGCGTTAGTTGTGGCCAGATGGATGGATCGGCGCGATGACTGGTTTGGACGTAGAGGAACAAAAAATATGTCAAACCAAGCACAATGAGGTTCAAAAGTAACAGAGTCCATTCAAATTACACGCACTAAAACCAAAACATAATACATTGTACAGCATGAGCTTACCCGTCTACCAAAACACATTGCAAAAATAAAGTACAGATCAGAACAGCTGTATTTCTCAATTGCTTATATACTGGAGGCTGGCTACGCTCCCCTCTCCCCAGAGCCGTCCGGTTAAATGCCGCAGGCTCGGTCACTGCCAGCCCGCCACACTCGACTCAATGCTGCCAGTTCGCCACAGCCAGCTCAATTCTGCCAGCTCTGGCTCGGCTGTGTGTTGACCGCCTGTTTGCTCACGGCCGGCCGACCGGAGAGCGCCGTGGTCAGTCAGTCAATACGCACCACCCAATAGTAACGAGTCGCGGCGGACAGGACGGCCGGCCGCCACAGCGGAAATGGTATTGCACAGTACGTGCAGGTCAGGTGGTGAAGACCGACTGGTGTTCCTCCTAGAGCGATGGCGATGGTCGTAATGAGTTGGGGTCTGGAGCTCCCATATTGCGATAGCCATCGACGCACAGCCCAGCCTTTAGCGACGGAAAAGACGCTAGTTAAACAGCGAGTGGCTAGAGGCTACCACGAAGGCAGCAAGACACAAAGCCTCGGCTGCAGGAGTGTTGTTGCTCTTCTTGTCAGCACTGTGGTCCATTAGACTCAAAGCAACCCCAACCAGGCAGTTCGACCTGGGCGAGGTGGCCATTTCTTCGCGACCGGAGGGCCTGTGTCGAAGTCAACGGCACGAAGAGTGGCGAGCGCGTGTACAGGGCGGGCCTGCCGCAAGGCAGTGTCCTCTCTCCGACCCTGTTTCTGTTATGGTCGGCGCCGCTCGTAGCAACGCTCAGGACCCTGCCTGGCACAACCCCATTCATGTTCGCCGATGACACCTCGACGCTCTGCGCCGGCAACTCCATCGCCGTGGCCCGGGACCGGGCGCAGCTGGCGGCCAACACGCTCGTGAAGTGGGCCCGCCGGAGTAAGATGGAGGTCGCGGGTCAGAAGACGCAGCTGCTCGTCCTCTCCCAGAACCCCCGAGACGCCGTCGACTGTCACATCCACGTGGCGGGTCAACTGGTGGAAGGGGGACCTGAGTTGAAACTTCTGGGAGTGACGCTAGACAGGACGCTGAGCTTCGGCCCGCACTGCAGAAGTCTCCGTCGGCGCGTCCGGCCCCGAGCGGCCCAACTCCGACGTCTCACCGGCCGCAGCTGGGGGCTGCAAGAACAGCAGCTGCGCGCCGTCGCAAACGGCTACGTGCGCGGTGCGATAGAGCACGCGGCTGCTGCCTGGCTGCCGGCAGTGTCCAAGTCCAACATCGAGATCCTGGAGCGAGAGATGCGCGCCGTGGCGAGGATCGTCACGGGCTGCATCCACTCCGCACCACACCACGGTGTGATGGCCGAGGCTGGCATGCTGCCCGTCGCGGCACGACGTACTGCGCTAGCGGCGCGTATGTTCGCGAAGGCTGCCGCGCTCCCGCCAGAGGACCCCCTCCGAGCGGTCGCCATGGCTGACCCCCCTCAGCGCCTCAAGCTGGTCACGGGGTGGCGCCAAGTAGGCCGGGAGGCCCTGCGGGAGCTACGGGTCGAGCTGCCGGTTGAGGCCCTGCTACCAGAGCGACCGCCACCGTGGACGCCCACCGGCAAGATCACCTTCAACCTGAGCATTGGCGCACTCTGCTCCAGCTTTCGAGCGGAGATGGTCGCCCTGCAGGTGACGCTGGACCACATTCTGGAACACCAGCGGGACGCACCAGAACCAGTCACCATATGCACCGACTCACTGTCGGCGTTAGCGGCGCTGAGAGAGGGTCCGCCGGCACAGCGCTCGGCCAGAGGCGCTGCCATATGGAAGCAGCTACTGGAGCTCACCGCCGGAGACCGAACGGTCACCCTCCAGTGGGTTCCATCCCACTGCGGGATCCCGGGGAACGAGTCCGCCGACGCCCTGGCAAATGAGGCTGCGACGCTGGCACAAGAAGACGTCATGCTCGATGTAGACACCATCTACCGAGCGGCAGTCCGCACCGCCAGAGACCGCGCCGCAAGGGACAGGCCGACATACCCGGACCCCGACCGCAAAGCCGCAACGGGGTGGTACAGAGAGCTCATGGGTGCAAGATGGCCACCACCTCTCACCAACATGGACAGGACGACAGCAGTAGACGTCCACCAGATCCGCACTGGGCGCTGGAGCGGCTCGGCGCAGTTTCTCCATTCTATCGGACGAAACCCATCTGCGGACTGCCCACAGTGCAGGAACCTCGACTGCCCTGCAGCTCGTTGCCCGCTGTGCGGCGAGCAAGCCGACACACCACGACACATCCTGCTGACCTGCCCGGGACTGATGGGGGTTCGCCTCAGAATCCCGGCGGTCGGCAACATACTGCCGACGGTGGAGGAGGTCAGGCGCGGCGACACGGTGGCGGCCCTGGTGGCCGCCTTCAGGGCCCTCCAGAGCTGAGAAGCTACACCGCGGCTCTGCCGCAGATGGAGGGGACAACAACAACAACAACAACAGGTGGCCGTCACAAGACTGACTACGCAGTGGTGAAGAGGCGTAATGAAAGACACATCGGCACTCAGGTCCACCAAGCTGGATGGCTGGGTGGGATTCAGTATCAGGAACGACTAGCGCCGCGAGCCAAGCACATCTGCAGAACTCGTCCGAGTGCGACTGTTCTGGCAATCCCCCACCAACAGCAACGAGCAGAACACCAAAAGTCGCTGACCGTGGCCAGTGAATGGAATCCAGTAACACTGGGAGTCGTATGTGCACGCGCAGTTTCATTCCGACCAACGCTGTCCAACGATCCCGAACAATCGGCAGCCGCCGCCGGAGACGGAGGGGAATCTGTTGAAGTCGGGGATGTCCCGCCGGCTGCCGTCCGAGCCATCAGCACGAAGTAAGTCAGTGCTCTGAAGGGGAGTACCGCGGAGGTATGGCGCCTCGCGAGTGAGGCAGAATTTGGAAGGCACGCCACGGCTCACAGATAAATCAGTCACATATACGCCGAGTGGCCCCGAGAGCTCGGGAAAGGAATGCTAGCATGTTATGATTCCGTAAAACTCCACCTTTTACAGTGTCGAAGACTCCCTCATTCAGCTTCCTTCCCTTGCCTCCTTCCACGTTCTACTGCTGACCACCCAGCACCGTGGATCCCGGCCGCGGCTCCAGCGAACGCTAACAGACACCAGAGCCCTGTTCAATTACGCTGCTGCGCTCGCCAGGCGATAATCAGCCGCAGCATATTCTCAGAAAACTTACCCGGCAGCGTAGCATATTCCAACGGGGAAACCTAGGCTTTTCCTAGAGCTGCATGGTAACAGCGCTGAGCGGACGTAACTGGGGGTGTCATGAGCCGTCATGAGCCCACAGCAACAGCCGGAGTTCAGCTGCTGAACTGACACTTCAGCATCAGCAACATGCTGGTGAAACTAGACAGGCTGAAAAAGCAAATGCAGCAATGGACTTCCGTAAATCGTTAATCTAGAGTCATTATAAAATCGTTTGAACGATTTCGTTGAAACGATTTTATGACGAGTAACTCCCCAACCATACCCAGGGTACTGACTATGTTTTTCTCGCAGAGTCCGCGGAACTGCTGGAACTTTTGCGCGATCAGCAGGTTGGCCTTGCCCTTGGCGGCGCGCACTTTGCCCTCGATCTCGGGCGTCAGTGTTTGCGAGTTCAGGTCGTTCTCGGCTTTCGTTGCCAGTGCCAATATACGCGTCGTTTCCGCGTCCAAAATCTGTGGACAGTCGAAGGTCAGGGCACGTTAGTCTAGTCACAGCAGCTGGTAAAACGTCAAACACTCGAGGGCGGGTTCACAATTAGTATCGTGCTGCAGCTCCAAAGTCACCTAAGAGGTCAACTCAGTTTAGGTCAATTAAAGGAACTATCCCACCTTCTAAAATGTTGTTAAAACCAGTTAAATTGTGCCCGACTTTATATATTGGATGACCAGGAACACGGTTCTGGCATTTATTTTTCATTAAACATCTTAGGCTTCCCATATTCCAAACACAAACTTTCAAACATGTGACGTCACAGCCCAAAATTACCTCCTTCCCCAGGCCACATTACTGTCATAAAGCTGATTCTTTTTACTCTGTAGGCACCACAACAAAGTTCAGACCAAGTTTTAACCCGCGCCCCGCTGGGCTATTCAGCCATACGCGCCCTGCTGGGGGGGGGGGGGGGGCAGATTCTGCCCCCCCTGTCTAACTTCCGAACCGATGGTCGTAGAAAGACGGGGAAAACGGCAATCGAAAGCTCTCAACAAGGCGGATCTTAAGAGCCCATTTTTTTTTGCTTAAGTAAGTCAGAGGTCAGGTCAAGGTCAGGTCAAGGGTACAAAATGCAAGTTTCTACCGTATCGGCCTTGCACCGTAGTTGCCGAAGAATGGACTGAGAATGATTGCCCAAAACGTGTTCTTAGACTACCAAGACAATATTCGTTGCATACAATGTCATTCAAAGGTCAAGGTCAGGGTCAGGTCAGGTCAGGTCACCAAAAACAAAATATAGAACAGGGCATGTGCGACACATGTTTTATGGGTCATTTTACTCATAGAATTCAATAGGCACACTCAATAAGTGATATGGACCACCTCTGGATGAATTTCAGGTCGAGGTCAGGTCAAGGTCAGGTCAAGTGAGGTCAAATTTTGAAGTTGGTTGTTAAGGCCTAAAAGGGTGTCTATCTGATGCAGTTTTTCACGGCGAATCGAATGGTGCTATTTTTGTTCCATTACGAGGTCTAGAACTTTCAAAAAATTCATTTTTCAAAATTTTTGTGTGTCGTGACGTCATAAAATTTTGAATAACTCCCACATTTTTGAACCGATTCTTCTAAAAATTGGTATGTACGTGCACATAGACCACTTCTCTGACATATATTCCGTTTTTTTCGATACACTCAAAATTTTGGATTTTATAATTATTTTCCCAAAAAAGTCAGTTTTTTGAAAAAAAAAAATTGGGCCAAAATCCAAAATTTTCAAAAAACTGAGATAGCCATTTGATAGACAAAGTAGAATCACGTATAACCTTTCTTTGTTACGTCTTGATTCCTTTAAAAATGAAGATGTTAGCGGCGTTTGAAATTTTGCCGTTTTTGAGGCGAAAATTGCGAACATGACGTCACTAAAACGTCAATTTCTCAAAAATTTCCGACGGATTTCGCTCAAATTTTCAGGGAACGTGTCAAATTGATGTATGATAAGGTACTGAAAGTTTGACGTCGCTGGCGTAACGCGTTTAGAATTTATTGGCGAAAAACGGGAGGGGGGGGGGCAGATTCTGCCCCCCCAGCGGGGCGCAAGTTAAGCGATTTTTCAACGTACAAACCCATTTAAATCAGAATGACTAAACGAGGTGACGTCACACTAACGGTCGCTCCATGTTGAAGATAGGGCCTTGCGCAATGCCCATTTTCAAATGAAGGGAACGAATTTCTTCAACACCAAGAGGCCGCGGGGGTTGCAACCTAGATAGATAGTGGTTTCTGAACCTCGCCGCAAACTTGGCTATCTCAACTCAAACCCCATGTTAAAGGTGGGATAGTCCCTTTAATCCGAAACAAACAAACAAAAAAAAAACGCGAAACACACGTCAATGAGACCAATGGCTGATGGCAAAAGCAATTCAATCGTGTGTGATAAATACAGAGGGGTATTCACGGGCACCGCAAACTGCTGAGTGCGGTGTGAGCGGTGTGTGCAGCAGGAGTGGGGGTTGGGGATGGGTAGGCGGTTCTGACGTCACGGCTGCGTGCGGTGGACGGTCCGCTGTGGCCAGTCCCGACCGGCCACAGGCGGTCGCTGTGTGCGGTGACGGAAGGCTGACGTAGGGACGCAGTGGGCGGAGCTTGGAGGCTGTGTACGGTCCGACCGCACACAGGCCCCGTGAACAGCCCTCTGAATATCAACCGCGATATAATCAATATTGCCAAATGGCTATGATGAATAGAACACAAACCCGCACAGCCGCCCAGGACCACGTCAGTAGGCCTGAGCGCATGTCCACTAAGCTTCCCTGGCACTACAGAACAAACGACTTCCATAATCCGTAAAACAATCAACGAAATTGCTCTGTCACAAAGACACTAATCCTGCGCCACAAACGAGGCACCATTTAGCCATATGACAAAAGAGCCTGACGTCTATCCCCTTGTGGTTTTCAACGAATACCCCAACCCACGCCTGGGCTACATTTCGCATATCATCTGTCAACATCAGACCAGTACCCAAGGATTGCCGGCAAGTTCAGCCACTCCTCTCCAAACCATACTTCCCTTCTAGTCCACGGGCGACCACGGAGGCCGGCAGTGAGTCCATAGTCACCCACCTTGATGAAGCGGTGTCCGGGCTTCTCCTCCTCGCCGTCGAGCTGGGGCGCCGGCTCGACCTCGGAGCCCAGCGAGACGGGCGCCGTGTCGCTGATGAGCGGCGGGTCGGCGGCCGTGATGGGCGGCACGGCCGTCAGCGTGGGGGAGGTGTCGGCCGGCGGCGGCAGCGGCCGGTCCCGGTCGGCCCTGCCGCGGCCCGGCTTTACGGCCAGCTGCTGCCGGAACTCGGGCCGCAGGTGTCTGAACACGGGCAGGCCGGGACTGGCCGGCGCCGCCGACCGGTCCGCCGCCGAGCCCGTGTCCACCGTCAGCTGCAGCGGCGCCGGACGGCCCGACGGCGACGGGGCGGCCGGAGACGAGTCGCCGGCCCCCGGCGTCGGCCGGCTCGGCAGCGAGCGGTTCAGGTTCATGTTGCGCCGGAACCCGGAGCACAGCGCGCCGGGCCCGTACAGGCGCTCGATGCGTGCCTGCACGAACGAGCGCGACACACTGGCGGTGGCGCTACGTTCTGTGCCGGCGCGTGTCGTGTCACCGGTCCGCGACCCGGCCGGCTGCTCCGGCGTGGTGGCGCTCGGCGAGCGGTTCTTTGCGTCCAGCCGCGGCGCCCGCGTGCTGGCGCTGACCGGCGGCGAGGAGTCACCGTTCAGGAGGCTGGCCATCTCTGTCCGGTAGCGGCGCAGGTAGCCGCGGTCCACGCTGATGCTACGGATCTGGTCGGCGCGGTGGGCCGGTCTGTGACCGTCGCGGCCGCGCTCGTCCGTCAGCCGACCGCCCTCTCTGAGCTGCTGTTTGATCAGACTGACGCGGCTGGGACTGGGGACGGTGGCGCCATCGGCCAGCGGCGCCGGGCTGCCGCCAGCGCCGCCGGGCGGCGACGAGTCGCGGCTGAGCGAGCGGAGGCCGCGCGCCGGTGAGCTGTCTCGCGAGTGGGAGAGCGCGCCGTACCGACTCAGGTGGCTGTAGCCGCTGACGCTGCACGAGATGCCGACGTAGGAGGGTCGCTTCTGCGGGGTGCGCTCATCCTCAGAGAGCATCCGCACAGCCTGCTTCACCACCTCTGAGCTCTTGATGGCCGTCTTCAGGGTGTGCGTCTCCTGCATCAGCCTCTGGGAAACGTCGCCTACAGCCATCCGGTCCACTTGGTCTGTAACACAAACATAAACAGGATAGTCAGTGCATAATGCATATACAAGCCAAGGCGTCGATTTGATGAAGGGCTGAAACAAACATGTTTAGACTGTCGGCACACATAGCAGCCGTCCAAAAATGCAGTCGGGCCACCTAACTTACACAGCAAACGAGAACAAACACCTGCTGCCAGCTGGCTCAGCACGACAGAAAATCAGTGATGTCTCAGTTTGTGATGTAGTGTGAAAGCACCAGCCACAGGCTTGAATGAACAGTCCACTGCATCATGCATTGACAAAAAAAAACAGTTCTAAAATGGCAGCTTTATGACAGAAGCGGTTTACTATGGGCTAAGGCTTTGATGATGTGTATCAAAGCATGCCGTTGGCACTTGGCACCAACGCTTACCTCGGCCGCAGCCATTTGTTCGTAGCTCCTTCTGAGCATCCATGATGATCCTCGTGGAGGTCAGGTGCAGCCCCCCTACTGAATCCTTCTCAGAAAACCTGCAGGGGTGACACAGACGGTAAAAATATGATGTTCTGAAAACGAGCACCCACGCCCACTTCAAGTTCAAGTTCAATGTCGAATCGGCTTACTCCAGTAGCAATAACCAAACCAAGCCACTACACAGACCAATATAATACTGGTCAACTTGCCTGAATGCAATGCTTGTTCACCTACAAACCATATCAACACCAGATAGCCCACACACCAGATTGCAGGGACAAAAGCGGATAACCCGAGTACGAGATAAGTGACAATCTGATAACACTAGTGCCTGATAACAGTCGCAGCGGAGATGACAAGCGTAGGTCAACAGCATGCCCAATACTTGGCGAGAATAGTTATGACACTTTTGTGTTTCATCCGCCAGAGGGACTCTCCTTATTTAGGGTGAAGTCGTATAAGAGTACGCACTTAGTGGATTTTTAGCTCTCATTTGTTAAATATTTGAAAGAAAGAAATCGCAAATATGGAATGTTCATTGAACTCGCCATCAACCCATGAGGCAGCGATCCTTCAGCGTAAATGGAAGTGGTCTAAAACTGACGTTTTCTGAACCGCTGCTGTTGCGTACTCTTACCACATGGGGTGTGTAAGAGTACGCACACCATGCGGGTGGAGTACGCAAGCATATAAACACGCACCTATAGGCAGCTTTTACTGTCCAAATGCTTAACATCAAACTCAGAAGACATTTAATTTAATTCTAGTATCAAAAAAGGAAAAAATAAATCTTGCATATCTATAAATTAAGAAATAATCAAGTCATGTGACTCTAAAAATGTACAATCAAAAGGGAGAATAAATCGTATTTAGAAGAATTTCGGGTACGCATCTGCCTCACAGTGCTCCATTGATGATATACCTACAAGACAAACGTTATTGAGCGATATATCAATAATTTGATATTTCTGTATATTCGATATAGGTACTACTGCACAACCAGCACTAGCCACATTTAATCACCATCGTCAACCAATTCACACTTTGCAAAAACCATCTGTACGATTCACACACCTTTCGGGTAACACACTAAACAGGAAACACAGCACCAGAACAGCCCTAACTGCACCAAAACCATCGTTCATCACGCTAACGCATTAGACCACACACGCACGCACGCACGCACACACTCGAACCACCCACACACGTTGCCTTCAACCACGCACGTCATCCCGCTCCCACAGGGAGACAGCACAGCGGGAAGTAGGGGCGACAACACACCACATAGCCGGGGGGTCGGCGGTTGAGTCACAGACACACCGCCCGCACCGCTGCCAACCGGTGACGATCCGCTGGCGGCCGCGCACGCCCCACGTGACAGCGACACGCCGCGCGGGACAGGAAGAGCGGCACGCCAGACCCACTTCCGGCTCCACTTCCGGGACCGCTAGTGAACTCGCGAATCGGACGGAACACCGGCGTGGGGGTATAATTTGAAGAAAAAAGTGATGTTTATGTTTGGTGGTGATTGTGAATGCAAAGTGTGTAGCCTGCCTACTCGATGTTTTAGGATCTCATCGTTTGGTGATGAAAGCCAAGAAGTGTCCACCACACTAGTACATCTTTTTGCGTTAGCTTTTGACCATTGGGCAAAACATTTGTGCACAATCGCCATATAGATGGCGCTACAAATGGGCGGTTGGTCACAAAGAATCACAACTGTGCAAAACTGTTCGGCGATCCTCCTCTACAACTCGACATTGAGCGAATGGTTCAACATTGTGCAAAACAAATCGTCAATGGTCAAAACTATTCGTCATTGAGCAGCCGGGAATTCATGATTGGCCAAAACCGTCTATGGAAATTTCAGCATTCAGAAAAACAGATCAGCAATGATCGAAACAATTGATCGCGTGCACTGGCGGCCGCGGGAGGTATCGAGCAGCTCATGGGGCCCAATCCTTGGCATTTCCCTCACATAACCGAGTGGATGATGGAACAAGCACACTGGGCGGCCAGTAAGTTTCACTGAACGAGACCAACCTCAGCCGGCACACTCAGCATATACGTTAGGCTGAGCCCGGGAGCTCACCATGTTTCTTTGTGCGCAATGCGCATAAGTCCCACACCAAACAGATAAACAACACCTTGCGCTCATTCTAAGTCAGGTGAACGGTATAGCCCTGGGGCTCGAAATGAGATAGGCCTCAAATTGGCGAAACCTTGCCCTCGTGAGGGAGTGCCAGGACACCAAGGCGGCCGTCATGGCAGATGTGCATTGTGCATGGTGTTCGTCAGAGCCCGCCATGAGGACAGTTTGATTATTCGATGTACATACCAATAAAGAGCTTGTCTTTGAATAGGCGAATTAATTACAATTTTTGTAATTAAGTGCCCACCGACCAACGTAGGCGTGCTAGGTTGGAATGGTATGGTGCATTGACGGAAATGACTTTAATGCATGCATTTCATAAATTGAATTCAGCTGTATGTGTAGCATTGCAAGGAAAACATTGCAAGCAAAAACGAAACCCCGAAGGGAGCACATTGTTTTTTCTTGTTGACTAAATGACGTCAAAGGTAATTTTAAAGCAAAAATGTCGGCGGCATTGATTGGCATTGCTCGCCGGTAAGATAAAGGGCTACTGCATGGCTTGACTGACAATTACCGTACTGTTCCATTTAGAAAGAAGTTATAAGGAACGGCTGACTTATTGCTTAGAAATGCCAATAATGTTCGCGCTCAAGTGGTGAATGGTCGAAATGTGTTATATCCATTTGAAAGAAAAACGTTCTGGATATTCATTTATTCTGTTTTGAACATTGCTGAAGTGATATCACCAAATGCCGAGGAGTTTCGCTCATCGCCGAAGTCATGGCGAAGTGCCAAACTGTTTTGCAGATCGCTCATTTCAGTGTTCAATCTGTTTTGTCGAATGGTTGAAATGAAACACACGACGCCGGAATAGTTGTGCTCAATGCCGATTGTCGAAATGGCTCCTCAAACAGTTATGGCCAATGGTTGAATTCAATTGCAAAAAGGTGTATTTGATTTAAGAAAGTTCAGGACCTGCACAGCCTTTGCTTAGAATGCTATTCGACCTTGAAATTATGTTTACAACAAGTTTGTGGTGAACACCTTCATAAGATGTGTTAGAGATTGATGTCGGGGCTCGAGCTCATACAAGCCAAGAGGTAGTCTAAGGGCATGATGTCAAATTTTGAGCGTATAGCAACAGTTGGGCACAAAAGGCAATTTGAATTACAAATTTGCCGATCCCGTAGCTCAGTTGGTAGAGCGTTGGACTCCGCGTGGTGAGAGCACGCGTTCCCGGTTATAACAGTCCGGGTTCGAAGCGCGACGGGCGCTTGACATTTATGGGCCTCCTGACGGGTATGGTTGCGGTTGGTGGCAGGCCGTAGCCAGGCGAAGTCAGTGAGGGGACCGGCCGTGCGCGGCTATGTGCGCGCGTTAAACTTTGGACTCTAAATTCTTCCATAGAACTGGAATTGCGCGATCGGAGGGTAGAGGGCAGGGTTACCGCAACAAGCTTCGCTAAGCGGTGGCTCTGTCCTTGTGAATCCTTCCTATCGAAAGGTTCGGACTAAATTTTAAAAAAGTACAAATGGTACAAATGAATTGATTGCAATGTATTTTGACCCAGTTAGGCACTCACTGTGAAAAGCTAGTGTGCATCCAGTGTTTGAACCCTTTCTACCAGAAATATTAACTTTCAACTCAATATTCCCAGTATCAGTATGCATTATGACAAAAAAAAGACATCACACTGCTAAAATTAATCATATCCTGTTTTTCTTCACTCAAGCAGTAGCCCAAGGGCTATCGTTAAAGGTGCATATAAAAACATAAAAACATCACTTCAACTGTAAATGATTTCATTCATAAAGCACTAATAATTCAAGATCTTTAATGTGATTTTTGACATTAGAGCAAGGATGTGTGAAAAATCAGGGTAACAAAGGCATGCTAAAGGGTACATAAGGGTATAAGAACTAAAAAACAAAATGAAACTTACAAAAAGAGGCAGTGAGAAAGAGATTTCCTTCTCAGCAGGTGTGTGTTCAGGAAAAAGAAAGTTGCATTGGAGCTTCCTGAGACAGCATGAATGATTAGGATGTAATGTGTAATGTAATGTAAAGTACTGTATTAGGATGTAATGATTAGGAAATGTTGAACCAGTGTCCCAAAATTACATTTTGGCCTGCGTGTCAGAGGGGGATATTCCTCACTGCAAAGTGGGCTGAGAGTGGGAAATTGTGAGTAAGAGGGGACGAAAAAAATGGGAAACAGGGATCATCAATTAATATTATGTGAATGTTTGAGGATGTTGGGGCTGCTTTATAAGATAGTTGAAGGAAATATTGAAGTAATTGAAAGCCACCCAGCAAATATAAACACAGATACTCTTTACTGGTACAATTGGGAGTGAAAATTGTTCTAGAAAATTGAACGTGATAGTGTAAAATTATTTTCATTTGGATGTCACTATCCACCCAAACTGGCAATTTTCAGGGCACTGTGGTGAAGAGAGCAATCATTCTTCAGAAAGTGAGAGGCAAGGAGATAAAAAGGAAACTTGGCCCTAACTGTGACTACATACTGGGATGTGCCATCTAGAATTTATCATCATGAATGGATCATAAGTTATGGACAAAAACATAAAAAGATTAGGGTTAAGTCAGTATAATCACAATTCATAGCCCATAGGTCCCAAAACCTGCCAGGAACCAATTATGGAATGACTCAACTTGAACCATGTCTGATATCCTATGCATTTCCTTGCATGTGCATTCCTGTGTTGAATGCACCTGCATTCAACACAGGAGGAGGTCAAGTTATTTCCTTCCACTATCACACAGTTGATGTCAAGGTATGATCGGCATCAGCAAGCTATGAGATCAGGACCCTGTTACATTGCACTCTGCTAGCCCCCTTTCCAGTTTCCATGGAAACTAAACAAATTTAATTGTGCACATTCAAGTTTGTTGATACTTCCATGAAAACTAAAAGTTCAATAGCACTAGCAGCTAATTA